GTGGAATTCATATGAAGTCTCTGAAGACAAATGTGCTTCAATTTCATTTCCCCGTGTTTATTGAAACAGGCAAGACATAGTCTTGATGCAAGAATTCCCAAAATGAATCTTAGGTAAGAAGAAGAAATGGAATAATATATAACTGGTTTATAAATCATATAAATAACACTAATCGTATCTGTTAATAGTATTTGGGTAGTCCTTGAGCTAGTAAAATAGCCTGCCCATCACGGTCGTATCTCGTGACAGTTATAAAGCCAATTTCTTGACCATTTTATTTTCTGCAGAATGTTGCTGAAAACCACAACTTAAACGCTGGGGTTTATTTTTGGCAAAACTGTTATGTGACTGTGGGATGCTGCAAACAGCTGTGAATGTGGCCTGGTTGCAAAGTGCCCAAAATGTCATCATGTGACTGTGGGAGGAGCCTCCCCTGGATGGTCGGCAAGGTACGGGCAAGCCCCTAGCTGTGATCTCTGGTTGGGCCTGCCCACCTGCCCTTGTTTTATGCTTTCCCTAAATAACTAACTTTCCCTCCAGCCAGGTGAGTTCTGTGCTGCCTCAATTAGCTGCCTGTTTGAAGCTGCGTTTCAGCCCCAAAGTGGTGCATGCGCGACCAGCGAGCTCCTTGTCAAATAAAGTTCAGCCCACTTCTGCCCTAAGCAATTGGCCTAAGATGAGGACTACCTCTATGTCCTTTGTTTATACGTAGACATAAAAATGGTATGTAGATATAGTGAATGTCACAGAAAGATATTTTTTCCCTTGCACACAGATCAGATATAGGCCTCAACCTTTAAGTGGAATTACTTTTGTTTTCTGTTTTAAACTTACTAAAGGAACCTCATGTTTCACATATGCATAAAACAGTTTTAACTGGATATTGCAGTTCCAAAAATGGATCCGTAACAAATATTTATTCCTATTCCTAACAAGCCTTGGGAGAATATCTAGTGCAACTTCACACCACTAGCAAAACTGATAAAAACTAATTTTCACATCAGCAGATTCTATAATACTTCATCCAAGCTGAAACTGAGAGAGGTACGGATTGAACCCTTGCTATATTTATTCCTTTTTCCATCATCCTTTAAGTTTCTAATAAATAAATAAACTTTCTAAAAAGTTTTTTTTTTAATTTTGAAAGTTAGCAGACTGATTGGTAAACCTGTGTTAACCTAATAAACGTATTCTATCATATGGCCTTTATATTCCCAGATAAAAGGAATCCTATATAACTAAGAAAAAATATCTCTCATTTTCAAGAAAACGGCAAACAGGCCTATAGAAATGAATTCTCTGTCTCTCCCCCTCTCCTCCCCTCTCATCATACTCCAGGCTCTTAAAAAAAATTGTAATGCAAACTATTTGGGATTTTCATCCATTCCAAATATACAAATATAGTTTCCTGCTTGCTATGACCTTATGCTCTCACCCATCTTAAGTTTTTACACCTTCTATTCATAATACAGCCAGTGTTTAGTACAGTGTACTACTGGCTAGTAAGATATAGCACAACAAAAAAAGAAGAAAAACAGCACAATTAACTAAAAATGAGAATAAAATAAAAAATAGAATTGTTGAGGCTCTAGAGAGAATACGAATATGAACCTGTTAGCATGGTATAGTGGGATTGATTTGAATTGTACAAGTTTTTGTACAAGTTATGCGGGGGGGGGGGGGGGTTCCTTGGTTCTCTCTGGGAATAGTTGTTTTCTTGCTGCTTTATTACCCAAACTAGTTCAGTTTCACGGGGAGCACTGATGAGGTTACCTAATTTGGGTAATGAAACATCTGCAAGAAAATAACCAACCTCAGAGAGCACCAAGCAGCCCCCATTTTAATGCTCTGTCTGTGTGTGTGTGCGTGTGTGTGTGTGTAACCTTACTCAACCCTAGGCAGCTAACAAACACACACATAATAAAAACAAAAGATTAAAACTTGAACACACCATCATCAGAGCTAACCTGACATTATGCCTCATTATGCCCTCCTCCCTGAGAGGAAATTCTGGTTGTAAGGTAAGGAAGATACGACCCTCTTCTCTCACAGGGGAAGATGTTCTATAGGGTTGGTACATCTACAAGAAGGCTCACTTCTTAGGTCCTACCAGATGGCCACATAAAATTGAAGGGACTTGGAATGAGGTAACCCTATCAATTTACTGGATGGGTAGCAGTGGCGGTATGCTACTGGTTCGGACCGGTTCAAATGAACCAGTAGTAAAAAAAAAGCTGACAATCAGCTGAGCGGAGGAAAAAAAATCCTTGGACAAAAGCACAGGATCTGCCCTCCCATCTGCCCCTATGCTTTTCTTTTCTTTATCCTCCTAGCTAATTGGCGCTGCAGGCCTCAGCTGGTGTGGGGAAAGCTACGCACATGCGTTAGCCCAAGTAAGCCCACCAAGCCACATCCACCGAACTGGTGGTAAAACAATTTGAATCCCACCACTGATGGGTAGTCCAAAGAAACTCCCATAAGCTATGGCTGCAATCTTCTCTTCAGGAAGGAAATGAAAGTCCAGGAGGTTCCTTAAATTGCACATCAATTATGTCTAGGAGAGTCCCACCCCATCATGTGTTGAAAATGGCAACCCTCTAGATACAGGGGACCCCAAAACCCAAAGTCACACAATCTTGCTAGGGTTAAGTTGTAGATGGTTCCTCACTATCTAGACCCCCTCAGAACCTCCAAGTCCTGAGTAAGCACTTGTTTGGTTTGGGGGTGAGATATATACTAGTGATATACGAGTGATCTCACCCACCAGCTTCATACAGATGTTAAATAGATGAGGGGAGAGAGACTCTAATCCTGATGCATCCCAGATAAGAGAAGCCTAAGATAGATCTCTTCTCCCCTCCAACGCTAATTGGAACTGGGCAAGGAGAAAGAAGGAGAAAGGGGGTGAACCACTGGAGAACCATGCTTCCAACTTTCAACCTTATCTGGGGGCCCTTATGCCCTGCTGCAACATCCATCCTCTGACTTTCCTGCACTCGCGCTTTGCTGTGTCATCTCCCATCTTTTTATATCTGTGTCCTGCCACACCGTTCATCCCCAGTCTTTCTGTGCTCAGGCTACACAGCACCATCCATGCGACTTGTGTTCATGTGCTTGCACACTACTGCACTGGGCCTCCTAGGGCCTCTCTACTCTCCACACAGCAACTTGACATTCCTGCATTCCTTACTTGCCACTGCTGCCACTTCATGCTTAACAACCCACGTGTCTTGGGGTTACTGTTGGGATTACCATCGCCATTGCTAAGCAGTGTGGTTATATGACATTGTGTTTTAGAACTTCATCACTTAGTGATAGCAATCCCAGCAGTCTCGGTTAACTCAAGAACTATGGGTAGTAGGATGATTTGAGTACAGATTTAGGATGGCAGCAGTTAAACTAAGAGTATCATTCTATAGTCTTATTGTTTTGCCTGTGAAAGAATATAACTGAATAATGGCAAATAAGAATTCACAGGACAGATTTTTTAAAAAGAACTGAGTGGGTTGTTATGCTGATAGCAACCATGAAAAATAATTTGCAGCATTTTGCATGCGATAGTGCATTTAAATATTTTTTAGAAGCCAGGCTTATTTAATCTGTATTGGTTCACAGTCTTAGTATGAAAACAACATAGCTATTCAAAAGGATTTGCTTATTATAATGTCACTAGAATGATGACAAATATGACAATGACAGCATAATAGCATATATGAAGGACTGTTTCCTCAGGAAGATTCTTTTTCAAATATGAATACAAACTCTTCACATTAAATCTTAAAATCAGGATCAATTATGAATTTCCAGAGGCATTCAGATTCTGTATTTTGGCTGTCAATTATTAGTAGCATATATTGAGGATATTTTCCTTTTACAGAGAGAAAACACATGGGCATTCATAATAGAGAAATATCTTTATCATCACGTGCATTACTTACAACTGGGAATATGACACCTTGGGAACTATCAGGCCCATGATTTCATGTAAATCATGAAATGTTTTTCATGTAATTAGGGTTTTTGGACATGAACATGTTATAAGAAAAGGCATTTGGTTTAAACATTGCTACCACTGAATCTTCAAAAAGGGCTTAATTTCTCAGCTTATCCACTTACTGTACATTTACTGTACACAGACACTGAGAATAGAAGATCACTATAGCAATCAAGTAAAATGAGATGGAAATTTATATGGTCATCATCTCATCATGATGACTCTGGGCAGCTAACAACACTGGAAAAGCAACATAAAAAAACACCACAATGCTATATATGAAATTGGTAGCTGAGATTAAACCACAATTTTTTTGCAACACAACTACCGTATTAACTCTGCCACGTGTTCTGAACCCCATGCCCATGATACAACCATGTGATCAGAGGGATGATGTCCCAAACAGCAGGCACTATGACAGTAAAGGCTCACTTCCTGGGTCCTCTAGGATGGCATCCTTTAGTAGATGGGACCCATAGCATGCCTCTTCTGCTGGATCCGATGGGATGGATTGACACAACCAGGGAAAGGTGCTTCCTCAGGTAACCTGACCCCGTTCCATGGACAGCTTTATAGGTAACTGAAACCACTTTGAACCTAACTTGGAAGCCTGCTGGCAATTGATGCAACTCATGGAGAAGAGGCTTAACATGTGCAGATTGTCAGCACTCATAATATCTGCTCCCCTCATTTTGAGCCATTGTAGCTAAATTGCTAGGAAGAGCTGCGATGCTCTTCAAGGGTAGACCCATGTAAAGCAAATGTCAGTACTGGTGCTATAAATGATAATTGAAGAAATGCATATTTATCGAAGAACTAAAGTCATACATTGCTTCACTAGAGAAAGTGCTTACTATCATTCCGTTTAGCAACAATATTGGGTTTCAGGAAAATATATATTTCTTCGTCCCTTCTTTTTATGGGATTATGGATCTAAGCAGGTCATGGTTGAGCCTATTAATACTTAAAAATAGCAAGCATTTGAACTATGGCAGAACTAAAGTACCTCTGGGCATTGACTCCAATGACTCCATTCAGACACCACACATTCGTTAGGACAATAGAGGATACATTTCTGTTTTTCCAAGGGAACTTTGGACTGATTACAAAGCACAAGAGGTACAGGTTCACCATCTCCACCTTCAGTGGTATTTATACATCTGTAGGATGATAAGAACATCATCTGCAAGGCATTCCACAATGAAAAACAAATAAGTAATACAGTCAAGCCTCTGAATCGATCTCAACATCTGGTGAATTTTTAGACACGTCTCGGTAATTATCTTGACAGCAGAATAAAAATGGTTTGTCACTGTCTTCTTCTGGGATTTTTTTTTCCATTTCGTGATCTTACCTTCAGTAGGCTTTCAATTAAGTTTTTTTTTTAATTTTCAGAAATATTTTTATGTTTGTTACATATGTCAGATATAACTATTCATTGCAGTGGATAATTAGTAATTATTTAATCAGTTCATTTTATCTGAATATTTATGTCATGCTAGTGTTGTTGAGGAGAGCTGAAAGAATTTGTAGAAATTGTGTAGAAATACTGCAATTAAGTAAAACACTGTTCATGAATCCAAAGATATGCTTACAGTCCATGCAACAGAATTTTCCTCTTAAAGATTAACTTTATTTTCATGCAAACATGAAACAGACTACTCTAGACACCTTTGTATTCAAAAGTCTTTTGAATAGTATAGCGTCACATAGCATAGTACAATATTGGTTACTTAATTTTAAAAAACAACAACAGTATAAATAATTGAAAAGGACTTCAAGTGATAAAATTAAGGCAGTTTTATAAAGATGTTAATGGAAAATAATATCCTCAAAAGTTCCAGAAACAGTTGTTACATTTTCTTAGCTTGCTTGTTTTTAAATTTATTTTGTGGGAGGTTTTTTATTGCTTTAATTTTTTGGGATGGTTTTTAATTGTTTTATAATTTTATAATTGTAAGCTGCCCAGTCATTTGGTTGAGCTGGGCAGCTATAGAAATCAAATCAACAATCAATCAATCAACCAATTAATCAACTACTCAATCCATGATTCAATAGCCAACTGCTTTTATTTTCCACTCACCTGATTTGCCTCATTTGTATTCCTTCTCCACAATGGAAGGAATTTTGTGCACTGCTGATTTCACACTGAGACCATGGTTCTACTCGCCAGGAATACTGATTGCACTCACTGTAACAGGGAATTGCCTCGTGCACCTTCCAAAGAAAACATACAAATGTATACATAATCAGTCACTTGAGTGAAAATTCTCCAGAGAAATACTTTAGCAGAACAATAATCGAAAAAAAAATCTTCCTCCAGTTGCTGAGTACTGTACTAGATTTTATCCACTGTTCTAAGAAGACCGTAATGTTTAAATTCATTGATTTCTTATAGACTTAAAAGGGAATGTGATAAGCATGCAGCCTCTTAGAATAAAAATAACTATTTCCAACAGTCTAATCAAGCATTTCATTACAATTTCATTTCCTCTGAAGATCTATGAGATATTCCCTTTTATAATCATACAATGTATTCTTTATGATGCCCAATTTTAACAGTATATCTGATACAATCAAGAAAGGAAAAAAAGTTTTTCCCCTTCCTTGATTGTATCACATATACTGTTAAAATTTCATTTTAGCATACAAATGCAACTTTATTTTTTCAAAAAATTATTTCAATTCCATAAAACCTTTTTATTGTATTTTATTTTTCTATGATTTTTTAAAAAAATATATATCTCTAAAACAAACAATTGTGCTTCTCAGTCAAACTCTACTTACAATACATAAAATAATTGCAAAACAATTTGCCAAAAATTCAAATAGAACAGCAACCAGGATGATTAGGGGACTGGAGACTGAGACATATGAAGAATGGTTACAGGACCTGGGCATGGCTAGGCTAGTGAAGAGAAGGACCAGGGGAGACATGATAGCAGTCTTCCAATATTCAAGGGACTGCCACAGAGAGGAAGGGGTCAAGCTATTTTCTAAAGCACCCGAAGGCCAGACAAGGAATAATGGATGGAAATTGATCAAGGAGAGATTCAACCTGGAAATAAGGAGAAACTTTCTGACAGTGAGAACAGTCAACCAATGGAACAGCTTGCCCTCAGAAGTTGTAGAAGTGTCATCACTTGAAACTTTCAAGAAGAGACTGGACTGCCATTTGTCAGAAATGGTGTAGGGTCTCCCGCTTGGGCGGGGGGTTGGACTGGATGACCTACAAGGTCTCTTCCAACTCTGATTATCTGTTATCTGTTAAACATCAGCACTGCATCAAACTGCTTAGGCAGAGAATATTTAAAACAACATTTATCATTTCAAGGTCCACTTCTGCCCTCCCTTTCTTCCCCAACGTGTGCATTGAATTGAAGGAATTTTAGACTGGCTTTAGACTGGCTCTTTGGATGGTCTAAATTTCTCTTATGAATTTCTGCCACATTTGGGAAGCTCTGACAAACAGTCTGGCCATGCTATGGAGCATTTGGGTAAAACGGGTGGGAAGTTGGGACATGGGGTAAGTGGTTGATGGTATCTCTACACTTTGAAGGTCTGGAAGCACAGATGTGGCTAGGTCAATTTACAGGGGTGATGAAGGTGTGATGTAGATTTTTGATAGGGTCTAGCAAAAAGGATGGTATTAAGTATAACAGAAATAATTGGGCTGCCTATTCTAAGATATAAGTGATTGGCAACAGGTACCCATCTACTCTTCTAGCAAAATAATAGCCTCTCCCTTGACCATGGGCTGCTGCATCATTGGAGCCTTTAGCCTCAAGTTACTGTTGATAAATGCTAAGTTTGTCTCCACCTTTTGCTTCGTGGATCAGTGAGCTGACCTGACTTGTAGAACTGAAACCTGTCTGGGCAAGAGGAAAGCATTCCTTTATCCAAGATCTCCAGAATTTCTACAACCATGATGCCAAGGGCAGGAAGGAATGTGGTAATGATCTTCCATGAAGAAGAAGAACTTCCGTTAATTTGACTGGTTTCTTTAATGCCCATAGTGTCTTGAGGAAAGCTGGCATCCAGACACATAATCCCGATATTGATTTGACTATTTCTGCCTCTTTTTTGGGGGGGGGGGGACACGCCGGGGGGACTGCTGAACCACTTTCAGAAAGCATGCATTTTCGTTAAATTGGACTTTAGAGGAATTTATACATTGATTTGGATGAAATAATCTCTCCTACTAATTATAGGAAATTCGAATACACATTATAGCTGTAAAAGCAGTATTTCAACAATAGATTTCTTCAATGGGCTAGTCTGCCCATGCATCACAATAATTCCTCTTATGCTTATTTCTACATTACTCCTAGCTCCTAGTTAACAAAATAAAGTGCCAGCAGGATGCTTTGCCTTTATATGTTTCCTGCTTGCTCTTTCCTACCATAATCTTGATTCCTGTTCCCCCTGGAAGAGATATCCATGAGACATTACGGGTGGAAGGCAGGCATCAATTGGATCTGATTCATTTACTACTACAATAAAACTCATGTGCTAGGAGTTGGATGGATGATCTCCAGACCATCATACAGATTGGCTAAGGATATCTTTTTCAAATGGCCATTTGCATTTTTCTCTCTCATAAATGTGACAATAAGATTTCAGGGCAAGGAGGCATTTTTAATATGTTGTATCTGGGATTCAAGGACTGCTTGTGGCAACAAGGAGAATATCATGTCTGTTCTTCGACCAAGACTATCTCTACTAAGCTAGTAAGTAAGCCACACCCACAGAACCGGTAGTAAAAATATTTGAATCCCACCACTGATTTGTGTCCATTTGTCATCCTATCATCACCTGGAGTCATGTGAACAGATGGAGAAAACTAATGCTACTCTCAAACATTGGTTGTTTGGCTAAGTAGTGAGACTGACAGGGAACAGATACAGGGAACATGGAGGTGGAAGATAGACCATCATGGGAAGAAGTCAGACCATTAAAGAAGAAAAATTTTCTTACTTCAGGAGAGGAGGGAAAGATGAGAAGGAGACTCAAAGTAATTCCATCTTAAGCACAAGAAGTATAAATTGATCCCATTAATTGCTTTGGCAGGCTTTCAAGAGGTTGTTACTTTACCCTATTAGCAATAAATTGAATTCCAGAAATCCAAGTAGTTCTGTTTCCTGAGTTGCCAGCCTTGATAGAGTTGACAGAAACCTCTTTTTTCCTGAGCCAACAACATAAATACTTGATTCGATTGCTCTTGATCCCAATGGTGCAGCACTCAGGGACACTAGTCATGTAAGTGTGTGTGTGCGTGTGTACATTTGTGTGTGTGTCTGTTTGTGTGTATGTGCGTGTGTGTGTGTGTGTGTCAAAAAAGTGAAGATGGCTGCCATGAAATGTGAAATGAACATTTTGCCCCTTTTTTTGACATGCATCAAATGCATATAAAAAAACCCGCAGGGACAGGGCTTCAATCGTGCAATCTCACTCACTACCTTGATGTTTTTGAAATCCTCAGCAGAGGTTTCTGGAAGCACTACCAATTGAGGAGGTAATGAAAAACTGAGGCATTGCATATAATTCTGGGGTTGTTTTCCAATTGAAATTACTTTTCTTTTGAAAAGGAACGTGAAAGATGAATGTGTTAAGGACTGTAGGAGTAAACTGCCAAAAAATAAATAAATCAGATTGTTCCAAAATTTGGATAGTTCTAGTCCTGCCTTAGACATGAAAACCAGCTGGGTGATTTTGGCCAGTCACTTTCTCTTAGCCCAACCCATCTCACAGGGTTGTTGTAGGGAAAATAGGAGGAGGAGGGAGCCTTGAGACATTTATAAAAATAATAAAGTTGAGGTATAAATAGAATAATCTAATCTAATCCTTGAAGAATTTGAGAATTTTATGTATATGTATATGTATATGTATATGTATATGTATATGTATATGTATATGTATATGTATGTATGTATGTATGTATGTATGTGTATGTATGTATGGCATTCAGCTTTGTTCGGGTATTTTCCCATGTCATAGTAGTTGTGCTTTTAAAGTTGTAGCGACGTTTCGGCAGAATCTCATCTGCCATCATCAGGCTTCTGTATGATGGCAGATGAGATTCTGCCGAAACGTTGCTACAACTTTAAAAGCACAACTACTATGACGTGGGAAAATACCCGAACAAAGCTGAATGCCATACATGTAAGTACCCGAAAGGCAATTTAAACATAAATATGTTGACAATGCAATCAGTCTGAAGGTATTTTTATCATCTTTGGTGGACATATAAAAAAAGCTAAGATTTCTAAGCTTTCCTTTCCCCTTCCCTCCTAACCTTATTTCTTTCCTGATTTTTTTTGTCTATTTCTTTCTTTTTCTTATATTTTATTCCCTGTTGACACTTATTAACTTTTATTAAAAAATGATGTTATTTTTCACATAAAAATATATATGGACAGTTTAAAGTTTGAGATTGATAAGAGTTGTTGATGGGTTTCTGTTTAATCTTTTTCTTTTCATGCATTATTTGTTCAAACTCATCAAGCCATGATTCTGAGGTAAAAATTATGAAAATGCCTCTGCAGCTGCTTCCCTCACCTGCTGTAAAAGTCAACCAAAGAACTGCATGAAATAGGTCCAAGTCTACCTGGCTTCTTCAGGTTCATACTTGTTCTCTAGAGCTTGAATATATAAAGCTGAATTTACTGTTTCAGTACAGGCTTATTTCCAAATTCTGGTCTTTCTGCAGTATATGAGGAGAAATATATTAAGAAGGAAAGGATGGGGCTTTCCTTAAAATGAAGTGACACAAGGCAAATAGACTGCAGAAGGGAAGCTAAAACCGAGTAATCATAAGAGATAGATGTGTCATGCTATTAAAACTGAAATGAAGATGGACAAGCATCAAGAAACCAGCTATTCTATTACTGTAGTAGCTATACACATTTTTTTTTCAGATGCTGAAATGCTGGTCATATTTTAGATTTTAGATATATCTTCACAAAGCACAATCCCTGTCTTCACCTCAAAGGCTGTCTTCCAAACAAATAAACCAAGTTACATTTAACATAATGGTTTGATTCACATGTAGCCCAGAACACTGGCAAATGTGCAACTTACTCTAGTGTTGCCTAGCAAACATATTGGATGCACCTAGCAAATGTATGAGAAACAGGTCAAGCAACTGTTTTCTTTATTTCATGATTCTTCTATGGTTCTCTTTATAACAAACCCATTGTTTTTGCAATGTTACTGAA